TTTTTTTGAAAAATCATTTCAGTTGGATTTGACTAGAAATCATTAGGACAGAAAGAATGGAGAACAACAAGGCTTTATTTCATTGCCTTTCTTTTAGTTTGTAATTTAACTAATCCAAGACAAATTCTTGAATAAAGTATTTCTTTTACAAAAGGCCGTGAGTGGGCACAACTCAGGGAGACCGAGATAAGTGTGAATACAAAAAAGAAAAAGAACTTAAAGCTACCACATCATTGCCGATGTTGGAGATGGTAGCCTATAGTGGAGTCTATTTATATTTTAAAGAACATAATTTTTCCACTTAGGGAACTTAAGAGGCCAGAATGTAAACATCTGGTTGGAAGGGATGGGCACAGTCCTCAAACGCACATTTTAAGTACTCCTTTGCAGTGAGAGAGGTAGGTGCACTGCATGCTGCTTGCAAAGGCAATAAAAACCTAGAATTTGGCTTCACTCCTAGGAAGTGTGGATCCTTGGCAAATCAAGTTGTTGAAAACTCTGCAGCCTCATGTGGAACTTCCTCCAGAGTTGCTAGGAGTTCTCCGACAGACTTTAAAGGCCTCTATGAACCTTTCAAACCCTGAGCTATCTATCATGCCAGGTAATTCAGGAAGACCTCAAGCCAAACAAAAAGTGTGGCTGAAGAATTTCGGAGTTTAAATCTGAAAACATGGGGTGGTGGGGGTGGTTAATGACAGTTTCTGTGGGGAAAAACTGGAGCAGTGGCCAGAAATAAGTGGGAGGGAGGAAATAAATATGCATGATAACTTATATGTGGTAAGGCTGTCATTTCCACTGAGTACCCCCTTTCATCCAAGTCCCCGTCCTCCACTGAACACAGACAGACTTCAACATATTTGTCCTTCATGGTCTTTTTATGACACTCTGTGTAGCCATAAACACTCTGTGATTTCATCTGGATCAGGCAAGTTCTAGTGGGCAGCCCTGATGATTTAATACCATGAGAAATATGAGTTCCAAATCTATGAACAGTCACCACTCCCCCATCCCCTGCAAGTCCAAAATTTCCTCAATCTTTGCAGTATAGAGAAGACCTTAAAGACACAGAGACTCAGACATTTACAGGGGTACAATTGCAGAGGTAGTGCTGGAATGACAGGGTTGAAGGTGGAATGACAGGAGTCAAGGAGAATTCTTTCAGGCCTGCTGAAGTGCGTGGCTGTGCTAGCTGTGGAAGGGTTCACTGTATCTCTGTTATGAGAGCTCCATGGCTTGCTCACAAGCAAATAGGACAATGCATCCCCTGCTGGCCTATCCTCAGAGTAAGGAGTAAAGAGAATGACCAGAGGGAGCCACCACTTCTTTGCTGTGACAGTGAAAGGGAGCCCTCTCCTGTGGCAAGAACTTAATTTTCCTTGGGGAGAAATTGGGCCATTTCATTGGGAAAAAATTCAGTGATTTTAAGAAAACTTCCACCTGATATAAATATCAACATATTAAATCTCCATGTAGTGGTTTATACCTCTATGCTCTTTGCTTATGAGCTGAAACTGAGTTCTTTCATTGCCTCTGCTTTGGGCATTCACAACATCTTTCCAGAGAACATGGAGGCCGGTGCTTACACGGTCTTGCTCCTCAGTCTGCCCTCAGGGAAGGAAACACTCTTCCCCTTTCAGTAAATTCCATCTTGCTGCACATGCCATCTTCAGATTTTTATTTTACTCTCTCTTTATCTGAAAATCTGTGATTTTATAGTTCTGAAATCATTGTTGAAATAATATTTTCCTTTGTTTTTTTAACTTCACAGGCTCCATATTGGGAGGTTGAACCATCCTTGTCAAAACACTTGTCAATGGCTGCAACACCCAGTTTGTCAATATTAGATAAACCAAGGCATCAGTTCCTGAATTCCTTCCATTAGATCAGAAAAGAAGTAAAAGCTGACCAGCCTGAGCAAGAGTGAGACCCCGTCTCTACTAAAAATAATAAGATTAGCTGGATGTCGTGGCATGTACCTATAGTCCCAGCTACTCCGGAGGATGAGGCAGGATGATTGCTCGAGCCCAGGAGTTGGAGGTTGCAATGAGCTATGATGATGCCACTGCACTCTACCCGGGAGACACAGAGACTCTTGTCTCAAAAAAAAAAAAACAAACGAAAAACAAAAAACCCCCAAAGAAGTAGAAGCGTTAAGCAATGATACAGTTATTTTTGGAAACGTCAGATGCAGGACTTGCCTGACAAGTTTTCATTGGAACAGAGACTGACAGCCGTCTCTTTTTCTTCCTTCCTTCCTTCCTTCCTTCCTTCCTCCCTCCCTTCCTTCCTTCCTTCCTTCCTTTCTCCCTCCCTTCCTTCCTTCCTTTCTCCCTCCCTTCCTTCCTTCCTTCCTTCCTTCCTTCTTCTTTCTTTCTTTTTTTGAGACAGAATCTCATTCTGTTGCTCCAGGCAGAGTGCAGTGGTGTCATCATAGCTCACAGCAGCCTCAAACTCCTGGGCTCAAGCAATTCTCCTGCCTCAGCCTCTGGAGTAGCTGGGACTACAGGTACCTGCCATGATGCCTGGCTACTTTTTTTCTATTTTGAGTAGAGACAGGATCTTGCTCTTGCTCAGGCTGGTCTCTTTTTCAATATTCAGTTCACTGCCCACTGACTGGTTAAACAGCCCGAGGTCTTGGCTCAGCTGCTGCAGTGAATCTAGGCAGGCTGGGCTTGCACCGTGGATCCTGGATTTTTCTAGGCAAGCTCCCAGCAGTTCAGACTGAGCACTTGTAATTAGAGCTTTGTGTAACTGTCCTATCTTCTTATTGAGGAAACTCACCACTTTCTGTAACAACAGGATTAACTCGTTCTCATCTGAGGCCCGTGTGGCTCTAACGAGCTCAGCAATGATTCTCCCAACACCCCACCAAATAATTCCAAGAGGCCACCGTGATGAAAGGCGGGGAGGGTAAGAAGGGGATTTGAGAGGTGTTGAGGTGGGGGTGGAAGGTGGATCAGGAAAACATGAGCTAACTTCTCTACTGAAGGAAAATGAAAGGATACCTTTCCCCCTCCTCCTATGGCTACTAGATCAAAAGATCATAAGGGACTCTCAGCTCCATCTGACCGTGTCAAAGGCCCATGGCAGGAAGGGGAATTGGGGGGTTGGTCTATGGCATAGATTATTTAGTTTAAAAATGGGATTTGTATAATTTTTTCTTGTGTTTGCCTAAGGACAGGTCTTCATTACAAAGGCTTCACCAGAATTACACAGATATCATTCTACTGAGAGCTGGGCCTCAGTCACGCAAGGGTTGAGACAGGGTTGCCCGAGCACTAAACTTGTCTTCTTAAGAGAAGAGTGATTCCACCAAGGATTTAATCTGCAAGAACCTAGTGGAGGCCTCTTGGGGTGGAGAAGGGTGGGAGCAGGGAGGTGAGGCGAGAGGGTGGGACATTTGGAATTCAATTTTTGAATTCCCCATTAATTAGAATAATTTATTATTATATGTTGCTTTTGTCTTCCATGCCTTAAAGGTAACCCTGTATAGATTCACTTGGAGAAGATAATCAAGAAAAACAATATTTTTCCAGTCTTCTTCTACACTTCAATTTATTTTTTCTTATTTTAAAACAGCAAGTTTACTCCATGGAGATAGTCTTTCTGTAGAGTGTGATCCTTTCACGAAGGGCAAATTATTAAGTTAGAGGCACAGCTGACTTCTTGGTTACGACATAGGCAGCCCAAGTGGTTGCTGGCCAGAGGGGCCAGTGTCTCCTTCCCATTCCCTCTTCTGGGCTAGGATTAGGTCGTTGGTTGGTATATCAACGATGGCTTTCCAAATTAGTCAGCAGGGCTGCGGCAGGTCCTAAGTCCTTCTTTCCACAGAATCAAAAGCGCTTACACTTCACATTTATTTATTAATTAAAAAATATTTATTGAGCCATTATCAAGAGGGCACAGTGATTAGAAAACATGAGTTCCAGAGAATGACTGCCACGGAGAATGCCACCTTTGTCACTTATGAGCGCTGTGACCTTGGCAAGTTGTGACTCTTCTAAGCTCAGTTTCTTCTTCTATGAATGAGGGACAGTAATAGTTCCTACCTTGTAGGGCTTTGTAAGGATCCAGTAAGAGAATGTTGTAAAGATGTTTGTGAAGTCAGCCTGCAGTAAGAACTCGTAGCTGTTTTATCAGGCAAACTGGGTTTGACAGGCTGTGAGCAGAAGACAAGTTAATTTGTTCCTCTACTGCCCTTCCTAATCCCATCAGTAATGTTCCCTGTCACTCTCGGATAACAAAAAGTCCTCAGATCAATTTTGGTGCCAAGAAGACTCTCCTTCCAGAAATTCAAATATCTAGTCTGGTACCATAATCAAATCTTGGAGCTCTATTTAATTTAGAACTTCTCTCCACTCAGCTTGCTTCAGGCTAGAAACCCAAGTGGAAGAAGAAAGAGTAGCTGGCTTCCTGTCCCCGCCCCAGGTCATTAGCTGTGATTTCTGACTTCTCCAAGGTCAGGGGGAAAGGAAGTTACAGGACAGGGCACAGTCCTGTGGCGGGCACAGCCGGCTCTGGCTCTGAGGCTCCCGTGCTTGGCAGTTGCCCAAAGCTCATTTTCTTCTTGCTACCAGGCAGGTAGCTCCAACCACTGCCCCGGCTGTTGGCATCTCTCAGGCTGGTGTCAGATACCAGGACTCCATGGCCCTCCCCCTACGCGTGGGGACCTTGGTCAGGCTCTCCTAGTGTTTCCCCTGAATCCTTTCTCCCTGGGCTGGAGGTGCGGAGGAAGCACATCCCTTTTCTCCCATCCCAGTACTAACCAGGCCTGACCCTGCTTAGCTTCCAAGATCAGACGAGATCAGGTGTGTTCAGGGTAGTGTGGCGGTAGACAGCTCATCTGTCTTCTGTCCTATCCTGCTGAGGTGGGAAATGGCCCTGCTCTCCAGCCGCAAGTCCAGGCGGAATGAGGCGGAGAGAGATCAGAGTGTGGCCCTCAGATTCAAAGCGTTTTTGCTAATTTGGCTGTTCCCCACCCACTCTCCCCTTTCTTCCAGTGCCCTGGCTGGTGCTCAGCGAGATCTTTCCTGGTGGCATTAGAGGACGAGCCATGGCTTTAACTTCTAGCATGAACTGGGGCATCAATCTCCTCATCTCTCTGACATTTTTGACTGTAACCGGTAAGATCTCTTTGTTTTCCTCTAATGTCTTTTGTCCTCATAGGGAAGCACACCCACGGAGAAACCATTTCACTGCGGAAGGTTTCAAACACACTCAGAAGGGAGGAAGATGGCCGCGCCCCTGATGTGCCAGTGACTGAACCCGAGCAGTTCTCGACCTTAATTTATTTACAACCCCACCTACTCTGCCCTCTACCAAATTGTTTTGCGTCATATCCCACACGTAATATCACTTTGTCTATAAAATTTCAGGGTGGACCTTTAAAAGATAAGACATTTAAACAAATATAACACAGTATCATTATCACACCTAAAATATTCTTAATCATCCCTTAGTATCAAATATCCAGTCTGTGTTCACATTCTTCCAATTGTCTCATAATTATTTTTTATACGTTGTTTGAATCACAGCCCAAATACATAATTTACAATTGATTGACATGTCTCATAATTGGTAGGCTTCATCTCCGTTCCCCCCCGCCACCCCCACCCCACCTTATATTTTTAGTGAAATTAAAAATAATTTGCTTCATACAATTTTCCAGTCTGGATTTTGTTGATTGTAGTCAGGTTACATGTCCTTTGTGTTTCCTGTAAATGGCTGTTTAGATCCGGGTAGGGGCTTGAGGAGACTTCGATTTTGTTTGCTGGCAAACTCCTTTGCAGGTGATGGAGGTGTGTGCCGCCATCAGGGGGTGCGTCGGGTCTGGCTGCCTCCCACTTTGCCATGGTGGCCTCCTTTGATGATCGTTTCTCAGACCCAGCACTTTCATTATGTCACTCCTTCTAAATTTTCATCTGAAATACCTCCCCAGAGAGAAATTTCTTCTCCTTAGCTGTTTGGCTCCCCTGAAGTGTGGATCATATAAGAAAGGCAAGATAAGTGCTTGAAACTTTCTCTTTACTTTCTAGTCTTCAAAATGTTAAAGTGGTTCTCTAGCATCCTCCAAAGTTGGCCAGTGAGTTGGGTTTTCTTTATTTCACATAAATATGAGGGACATGCATCATGATTACAATCTACAAAATCCAGACTGTGGAAAATTCTATGAAACAAATGACCCAGTTCCTTCATTCATATATATATATATTCTTCATATATTTAATTTTGGAATGTAGATGTGTACTCAAACAAATGTGCATAAATACACCCACACACATATATGCACATATATACATATATACACACATACACATACATATGTATATTTAGTACACTTACTTTTGGAAATTAACTTTTGGAGTTGCTAATTAAGCATGGTTTGGGTTTTTATATAAAATTTTCAAATGTTTATGTCCTACGTATTTAGAAACAGCCCAAGATTGAAGGAAGCAATGGTCATTAGCATTGTCCATACCTCTCTTACTCAGATCACACACATAGACATGTGCCTTTCCTCTTCTCTCTCTCTCTCTCTCTCACACACACACACACACACACACACCCTCCATCTGCTGTTTGGCATGGAGAAAGAGATATAAAAGAATGGAAATGATGAGGGATGAAAAAAAGATGACACAAATCTCTGGGAAGGCCAGCTAATATATTGGATGAGCTCATGAAAATTCAGAAATTCTTCTGCATGGGCTTCTAGAACAAATGTTAGGAAAACAGATCCACTAAAAAAAAAAAAAAAGCTTGGAATGATCTAAAAATATTTAGATGACATTTAATTGGAATGCTTGACATTTTCTACTTATTTTCAAAGATCGATTTTCCAAGTGTGGGATAGAGAGACCTAAAAGATGTGAGGTTCTACTTGGCAGCGAGCCCTTGGATACCAATATTTTAATGCAATTTCAGCTGTATCAATAAAAGCAGACTGTTCCAGATAGACAGATGTCCTCTGCAGTGGTCATGAAACAGCTGCAGTATTGTGTTCAGCTCTGAGCAGAATATTTTGAGAGGGTTGTTTAAAGATTGCAGTGTTCACCGAAGGAGGGCAGTAACCTGTGCTCTGTGAAGAATGGTTGGGACAGTTCATAATGTTTGATCAGACAAGAGGATACTCAGAGAAGGGATGAGGTACATCCAAATATTTCAATGGCTGTCATGGAGAAGAGGTGGGGAGAGCTGATTTGATGTGTGTCAAGGACAAAGCAGAACCTCGGAAAGGCAGATTTGGGATCTAAGTAAAAAATAACTTTTTAACTGATAGAGCTGTCTCACAAGGCAGTGAGAGACTTTAAGAAGTGGTGAGCTCCCTGTGACTGAAAGTGCTCACACAGAACTGGGGACAAGTTTGATGAGATGACCTTTAGGAGTTTTTACAATTTCTATCTTCTGGTTTTATGCTTCAGAGAGAAAAGAAGGCCCAATTCTACACACACTTTATTAAGCAATCAGTTGAGCAAAACCCTGTGCCAGCAGCAAGAAAAGCAGAGAGAGATGGGAGTTTAATTAAAATTGCCAGAAGAACTGCAGAGCTGTTCCTTCTTCCTGCTTCTCTGCACCTCATCACAATCCACTGACAAGTAGTCACTATGCTTCGATCCATCCACAATGCATTTACAAACACTGCCTCAGTACACAACTGCTCAGTTTTCCTGCCTGACCAGCTGTGATTTGTGGTGGCAGTTGTTAAGGGCTATTTGCAAATATTGCTTGCAGTTGCTTTGAGCCTATGTTCAAAAAGAGCCAGCTTCTTTCTCACACTCCCTGCCACACTGCACCTTCTGCAGCTAATGCAGGGGCTGGCACAATGCAAATGGCAGACTCAAGAGCATTGAAGGCCACTGCTTGCCAGTTCGTGTACCTTGATCTTGGTTTGTGACTACAGAGGGACTGTATTTTTGGCCAGAGGTAGTCAGAGGAAAAACTAAGCTGACAGGTGAGATCCATCAGAATCTTGAAGATCCTGCTTCTTGATGATGCATCTTGGCAGGTCGATGCCTTTCATTGGACCCGCGATCACTTTTTTCTCTGATCCCAGGAAGAAGCCCTACAAACACAATGCCAGCTATTAAGAATGATGAAATATTGCCAACAGGAAATGATATATTCAAATCGGAGTAAGGAAGGGTGAGCTCATTCCAAGAAAAGTCCATCTGTACAAATATGTCATTAAAAATGTCCCCCAAATAGAAACCGAACTGCTACAGTGGTGATTCCCAAGAGGGAAATTGTGGAGGGTTCTGCATTATGTGTTTTGTGTTGTTTGAGACTCTCTTTTGCAGTGAGCATGTGCTTTTTTATGTTAATAGAGACACATTGCCATTTTGAAAAAGTCACGCCCACCAAGAAGATAGCATTGGGTTTAAATTGTGATACTTTCAAGACTGCTACTTACTTTACCAGAGAAAGCTGAGGTAGTTTGTAAAAATAAATCTTTCAGAGCTTGCTACATTTTAATCTTTGTGATTCCTACTTTCCTAGACACTACTGCCATGTCTGAAAATACATAAAGCTTTACATATGCCCTAAGAAGCGGTTGTTCACAAATGGGATCAAAGCAACACAAAACACATTTCTAATCGATTTCTTTTGTTCTTTATAGATCTTATTGGCCTGCCCTGGGTGTGCTTTATGTATACAATCATGAGTTTAGCATCCCTGGTTTTTGTTATTGTGTTTATACCTGAGACAAAGGGATGTTCTTTGGAACAGATATCAATGGAGCTGGCAAAAGCGTAAGTATTCTGTGCGTTGGTTTCTCAACAATACTCCTTGGTCAAAAGTGCAGCTGTTACATACAGCTAAGTAATATCTGAAATTATTTTAGGATATTCCCTTTGGTGCATATCTCAAAATGCATATCCCAACCTTTTTGGCACCAGGGACCAGTTTCATGAAAGACAATTTTTCTGTGGACCAGGTTGTGGGGTGGGGGAGGAGGCGGAGCTCAGACAGTGATGGGAGCGATGGGGAGCTCCTGTAAACACAGGTGAAGCTTCCCTTGCTCGCCTGCCGGCCCAGGGGTTGGGGACCACAGTCTCAATGCATAATTCTGATTTCCTTGCCTTGTCTTTAATTTGGGTGATTCAGCTAAAGAAGTTGAATAACCATTGCTTTCCAAAAAGTGAACTTTCTTTTTTTTTTTTGAGACAGTCTCTCTCTGTTGCCTGGGCTACAGTGCGGTGGCATCATCACAGCTCGCTGCAACCTCAAACTCCTGTGCTCACATGATTCTCTTGCCTCAGGCTTCGGAGTAGCTGGGACTACAGGCATGTGCCACCATGCCTGGCTAATTTTTCTATTTTTTGTAGAGACCGGATCTTGCTTTTGCTCAGTCTGGTCTTGACCACCTGGCCTCAAGCAATCCTCCCGCCTCAGCCTCCCAGAGTGCTAGGATTACAGGCATGAGCCTCTGCGGATGGCCCAAACTTTCAAAGCTCTGTTTAGTAACCGTCGCAGAACCTCTTCCATCTCTCTGGGTCCCCCACACAAGAGATTTCTTTGGGGTTTTGAGTAGGTCCTGGGACACCCTGGGCTAGGACCTTGGGCCTCAGCTCTTCCGTGTCTATCAGACTTATAGGTCTGTGAGCCCTAAAACCTTGCTAAAGCTAAGATTAGCAGAAAAATTCTTAGGCTTAACCATCTACAGTTGTTCTAAATATTGCATGTTCAAGGTAATGTTAAGAAAGATAAAGTTTCTTATATGAATAGACATTTAGAAAACTAGTTAAATAAATTTCACATGGAGAGGTGTTTAAACAAATGTAACTTAAAAGTGAAACAATTTAACTTAGAGTTGGGCCCTGAAAACTCCTTTTTCTTTTAGTAGATTTAACTGCCAAAGCCGTGGCCTGGGGGAAGAGGTGACACAAGGGGCTAGGAATGAAGGAGAACTTGTTACTCTTCCTAGGATTAAATCATTTCACTGAGAAATGTAGGGATACTTGTTCTTGAGTTTTAATATAATGGGAGCAAACTACATTTTTACAGTTTGTGGTTTTCTTTTAAAAATACTTTCAAAACACTGGAGAGAAATGTATGATAACAGATACTGTGGGCATAGTGATTCTTTGGCTTTTATCTGAAGGAAAAGTAAAGCTGACAGGTGAATTGATGGTAGGCATATGTGTGCATCTATATTTACGTTGGCCAAATTGTTAATCCTGGTAGGGAGTGTAATAAGTACATATAAAATATAATATTTATTT